TTCCCCCCTTTTTTCCTGTAGACTCTGTCCAGAGATTGGTACATATTTACTGTAGGGATGAGAGACATTCTAACCACATGTTTCTTTTCTCACCATATTAGCAGGAAGGTGCCACCAAATATTAAATATACAACTGGATGCACTGTTATAAATGTGAATTATATGACTACCTGCCAGTCAAGAACCAGACAATTACCAGCAACCCAGAAGGCTCACTTTGACCTTCCTGTCAATATCCTGAAGGGAGTTGCTCTTTGGGCTTGAATTAGCGATGAATGAATATCTTTTTTCCCCTACTTTAAGCTCTCAATCTCTCCAGATTCTTTCAAAGTTGAGCAAACCCAACCCAACCCAAACCAAACCAACAAACAAATAAAAAAGCCTTACAGCTTAGATCTTAATAAAACCAATGGTCAGAGCCTGTAGGCCTGTTTTGTTTTGGTTTGTTTTCCAGTTGCCATCAAATCAATTCCACCTTAAGGAAACCCTCCTGTTCATGGTCAAACAGCATCTCCTAGGGTTGATGCTGGCTGCTTTTTCAGAAGTAGGTCACCAGCCCTTTCTTCCGAGGTTCCTGTGGGTGGAGTCAGAGGTCTTTCAGATAGGTGATCATATTAATCACAGGCACCAACCAGGGTCTCTATCTCTAGCACCTCTTAAATTACTCCTCAAGATAGTGACCAGGGGACACTGCTCTTCTGAAGCAGTCACCAGGAATATTTCTTTCTTCTCTCTGACTGTCCCCAGATCACATAGTCAAACTTGGACTTTCCAAGTTCACTGCTCGTTGAATAACACTTTTTACTTTTCCTCTTAGTGAACAACTCTGATCGAGTTCTCGCTGGTGAGAGTCCTGGCTTCATCATGGTTGTTTGTTATCCCCCACCCCCCACCTCACACAGTTTTTTACTGTTAAAAATATTAAAGGACAAAATGTAACCAGGCTGCTCACATTCTATTCCAAACTTCTAAACATGGCAGGTGGTGTATGATGCTATAAACGTCTAGGCACTTTGAAGTT